GAGGGAAAATCGGAACCTGGGATTTGAGGGAAAATGGGAAGCTGGGATTCAAGGGAAAATCGGAAGCTGGGATTTGAGGGAAAATCGGAAGCTGGAATTCAAGGGAAAATCAGGTGGGACTCGAGGGAAAATCAGAAGCTGGGATTCGAGGGAAAATCGAAACCTGGGATTTGAGGGAAAATCGGAACCTGGGATTTGAGGGAAAATGGGAAGCTGGGATTCGAGGGAAAATCAGAAGGTGGGACTCGAGGGAAAATGGGAAGGTGGGATTCGAGGGAAATCGGAACCTGGGATTTGAGGGAAAATGGGAAGCTGGGATTCAAGGGAAAATCAGAAGGTGGGACTCGAGGGAAAATGGGAAGGTGGGATTTGAGGGAAAATTAGAAGCTGGGATTTGAGGGAAAATCGGAACCTGGGATTTGAGGGAAAATGGGAAGCTGGGATTCAAGGGAAAATCGGAAGCTGGGATTTGAGGGAAAATCGGAAGCTGGAATTCAAGGGAAAATCAGGTGGGACTCGAGGGAAAATCAGAAGCTGGGATTCGAGGGAAAATCGGAAAATGGGATTTGAGGGAAAATTGGAAGCCAGGGTTCGAGGGAAAATCGGAAGCTAGGATTCGAGGGAAAATCAGAACCCGGGATTCGAGGGAGAATCGGAAGCTGGAACTCGAGGGAAAATCGGAATCTGGGATTTGAGGGAAAATCAGAAGCTGGGATTCGAGGGAAAATCGGAAGCCAGGATGCAAGGGAAAATTGGAAGCTGGAATTTGAAGGAAAATCGGAAGTCAGGATTTGAGGGAAAATTGGAAGATGGGATTTGAGCAAAAATCAGAAGCCGGGATTCGAGGGAAAATCGGAAGCCGGGAATTGAGGGAAAATCAGAAGCTGGGATTCGAGGGAAAATCGGAAAATGGGATTTGAGGGAAAATTGGAAGCCAGGGTTCGAGGGAAAATCGGAAGCTAGGATTCGAGGGAAAATCAGAACCCGGGATTCGAGGGAGAATCGGA